TTAATTTAAGCAAATGATGCAGCAAAAATATAATGCAGCCTAGAATACAGAGACATGTTTGTGTTGTTTGTTGGTCCTTTTCTCTCTTTTTTTTTCTACTTATGATATTAAGAAGAGCAAACAGATGTAAAAATGTAGGACCTAAGCTGAATGGAAGGGAACAGGAAAAATAAATATTATAGGTCAGAAGAGTCAAAACATTTTATACAACATTTTTTCTTCATGACAACAGGATTATTTTGCTTAGGCATTTAGAAAAACATTATTTTTAAGCATTACATATACATTTCTGATGGGAAATTTTCTTATAGAGCAGTTTCTTATGTCACTAGCCAACTGTGTGCCTAACTCTGGTTTCGAATGCTACATGTGCAACAAGTGCTGCTCAGCCGTCTCGCATACCGCAGTCAATAACAAATCGCAGGGAATAGGGGAGAGGACAGGCTGCTAAGCAGAATTAAACCAGTTACCTAGGTCAAGAGGAGAGGAGGAGGACAGGTCAGAGACTAAGTTTGTTGCGAGAGTCTTAGAGGGAAAGCTTGCATAAGGAGAACATCCTGCAATACAAGAAAGAGAGAGCAGTGAAAAATGGGAATGAAATGTTAAAACAGGAGATGAGAGGTAAAAAAAGAGGAGGCTGTGAGGGCGAAATCTGACTGTCACTTTCTTCTTTTTTGCTTACACTCCGAAAAAACACAGCTGATAAATTAACAGATCTTACAGACTGAACTGAAGTTCATATTAAATGATAATAACCTGTGACTGTTTTAGGAAATGTGTTTATGACAATCATTTTGTACTTTTTAACCCCCCCTTACCTTGTGGTGGACCTTGTTGGTAGGCAGCGCCCGGCCCATTATAAGGTGCGTACTGAGCCGGATATCCCGATGGCACATGGCCACCCCCATATCCAGGCTGGGGGTAGCCCTGATACCCAGGCTGAGGCTGCCCGTAAGGAGAGGCCATGTGAGGTTGCTGGTTGACATTCATTCTCAGTTCATCCCTAACTCTGAAGACAGGGCAGAAACAGGGGAAAAAAGGATAAAGAGAAAGTGAGTGAGTAAATCTATATTTATGAGGTACTGCTGTGAGAAGAGCTTAAGAGGTCTTGTTAGTCTCTCTGATGCTTTCAGGAGTCTAAAGACATGTGCCGCTGGACTGCTGGCACAGCAAAACTCCCAACTAATCATTTAAGCTCAGAGCAGCAAATGTTGTCATAAAAGAGAAATTTGCCAGAAAAGGCTGTTTCACCCTTCAAGCTGGAAAAGCTTTGGGGTTTCTAAAAGCAAACAACACAAGGAAGTTGATGAGTGAACAAATAACAGGAGAGTTTCACATTATTTTTAGAAATCAGAATCTAAAATTATTCATTCATGATTGCGAAACCCATTTAAGCACAGACCTCACCCCTGTATAAAGTGAAAAAGTGATTCCTTTTGTACTCTAGAGGAAGTATTAGTTGTAAATGTACATCTCATCTACACGTCAAATCATAAATAAAGCCCCTTGAAATAATATTCACAACTTCCATAATGTGACATTTCTTACTGAAACAATATATTAAAAAAAATAAATGATAAATAATAATAATAATAATAATAATAAAGTTACAAAGGGATTTGATTTATCCAAACAAAATTGATTGGATCATGAAAAATAGGCCCTGAAAATCAAAATAGAGTCAGAAGTGAATGAAAGTTTGCAGTGGATCATGAAGGTCTATGTTGAGGTCAAGTTCACCCATAAGATGATCTCAACATCATAACTTAATAAATTAATGTTAATAATAGCACATTATTACACGCACGCACACACACAAAACAAAACAAAACAAAACAAAACAAAACAAAACAAAACAAAACAAAACAAACATTGTTAGTAAATTTCCCAATTATTACAAAGAAACAGCAATTAACACATTGAATTAAACATAGAATAATCTTTATTTACAACTTTGAAAAATCTTTGTTTTACAGAGCTTGAAACTACTGCATTAACTATTGGCAGGATTTTGAAAGGCAGTATTATCTGCAAAAGTCCAAAATGACATTCAAACAGCTACTTGGCTATTAATTAGCATTAACCAACAGCCTGCATGACCTAGTAAGTATCATCAGCCAAAAATGAAAAGCTGTTTCACAATCGAGCAAGTTATTACACTGTGATTTAAAAAAAAGGTTGGTCTTCAGGTGAGGCTAGGAATATGAGAAAGTAAAAAGACGCATTTTTAGTTCATGTCAATTTTAAACTGTGAAATATTGAAGTATGATCTTCATTTTAATGCTGAAATTTTAGGTCTACTCTACATAGACTTAATACTATTTAAAAAGATGATGATGATACTCAACAAAAACATAACCTACATTCAAAGAAAGCACTCCCTAATAACATTCACAGCACATAACTGACATCTGACGTATTTCGCGTTCCACACCCACCCCAAACATCTGAGACTCTTCAATTCACTAGTCCAACAGTTTATTCGAGTAACTCCTGAAGCTGCTTATATAATGGTGTTTAATAGTGTCTCACACATATCAATTTCTCAAACATCCATGAAACAGAAGCTGACTGGACTGGAGTGGACTCAAATGACACAATTACTGCCAGCACACTTGCTTTCTTAATAGCAGATGTTACGAAAACCCACAAAATGCAGATGGAAAAGTAGTTTTAACAGCAATTATGAAATATCTAGATACATATTTCTTAATAAATCTGATTTAAAACTACTACTCCTCATTTCTAGCAAGTAGTATAGCAAAGAGGCGTTAGCACAACGCAGCCTTGAATAATGTTGAATAATTCAAGGCAATGGATACCGTAATAGTATACAGCACCACATGTGCAAGGACTTCCAGAGATAAACACGCTCATTTTCCATCTATCTGTTTGAAATGAAATTACAGGCCTGCTGGATGACCTGAATATACACAGAGGAACTCTAATGTGTCATGTACATGATCTCAACTTGGGTGACAACGTTACATGAAGGGAAACCAGCAAACATGTTAACTCAAGTCTGAAGTCTGAGACTCAAACTCAAGTCACAAGTCTGCTGACCAAGCAACTGGTTTCATGTACTAAGGCTCAAAGACAGTGATGATCAAACAAGCAAGTGCCACTAAAAATTACATGTCCATCTATGGATTTCACCACAAAGCTTGATAGAAAAGCAGCATCCTTTTAAAAAATGAAATGAAGGTAGATTTACGTTTGACAACCAGTCATATATAGGGGGCGTGGTTTAGAAAAAAAAACATATGCCAGTTACCATAGTTACCCATTAATTTACTATGGGGAACACAAACTTTCATACATACATTACAAATTTGGGAAATGTAAGCAATTGAGAGGGACATTAAATTGGTAAAACAATACAACTAAAAAACTAAGATGATGACATTAAGACACTCGAAGTTGAAATGTCAATCAAGAAGTTGAGAGACAAAATCACAAAATCATAACATAATCAAGCAGATGCACTGCAGCAACTACACATGTGCTATTAAAAGGGAATAATATACTATTAACTGAGCCATTAAGTTACATCACACACGTTAAGCTTTAATAACGGCTTTTATTTTTTAAATCACTAGTTGGCGTATGAGAACATTAAATCCACTCACTCTCTCACCTCTTGCTAAGCTAATTTCGGATGTTTATCGTTGCTGGCTATTAAAACAGAATCAAGAAATGACCCACTGGGTCTGCCAACACGCATCTCACCTTAATAAGCCCTTATATCGTATGAATTACAGCAAAATGTGTCACTTTCATGTATTAAATATTAATTAAAGTCATAAATGACTCGACGCTGAATGTGCTAAGCTAAGCTAACAGTGGCAGGAAAATAAATAACCAAATAAAAGAACAAACATCCAGCGCCAACTGACAGCTCACCTCATAAACCGCTCGATGAGTTAACGAACGAGTCGTCAGAACGCCGTTCCGGTTCTAAACCCCGGTAAACGCGATAGTACTGCCGTTCTTTCACGGAAAGAAAGCGGTGAGACGGACGTTTAATCCTTTCCTCACGCGCACCGGAAGAACTGAGAATGTATGCCACGTCCACATCCGGTCATGGTGAAGTAGACGATGATGGAGGACTTTCACTTTTTGGAAAAATATTTTTTTTTCCATATATAATATATTTTTTTACATAACTATCAGTAGCTTAATTGCTACATGACCTGAAAGAACGGCTCAGTGAATTCGTCTGTAAAGAAGAGTAGGCTTTAGTGGATGTATTAGCATACTTTTATTTTGCACTAAATCGAACCAATAAAGATATTTGGAATATTTGCCGGTTACGCAGACTATGTTTTATTCTTCTAACTGAGCAATCCTAACTGCCTATGACCTTTAGTAAATTTCTTAAATTTCTAAATTGTCAGAATATTATCATTATTCCTCAGTATAGGTATGTGGGGTAGTGATGCGCGGATGGCGGTTATATCCGCCGGCGCTGCGGATAATCCGCGGATCGGGTGGGTCGGGTGATAAAAAAATGCATTCTGATCATTTGCGGGTGGGTCGCGGGTGGATAAAATAAATCATTAATGATGCAAGTAGTAACTTCATTTTCTAAATTATGAACGTGTTTTAAATAGGCTACAGAAATTGAATAAACTGTAAATTAACATTAAAAGTTATTCAACAAAACATTATTTAGTCAAGAGCAGTAAGTTTTGTTGTTTGATCTGATTAAACATAATTCTATTATACAGAGAATTGTGAAATAGACTTTCCTTACTTTTCAAAAACTTTTTGAGTTTATTTATTTTTACAAAAATGTCTAGGCCTGGAAATTGCTGTTCAACTACTTTTCCAGGTTTTTTATGACCGTACGAACCCTAATGTGATGATCGGGTGCGGGTCGGGTGCGGTTACCTAAATCAGACAAAAATACAGGTGCGGGCGGTTGGCGGGTGGATAATTTATTTGAAGCTGCGGATTCGGGTGACGTTTTAGCTCATCCGCGCATGACTAATGTGGGGTAAACAAGTGGTTTCTAAATGGCTTTTATTTTGAAGTACAGAACATCCGGTAGGCAGTGGTGCTGTTTTGTTCCACACAGCTCAGACTTTAGTGTTTCTGTTATGGACTGACAGAAACGCGGCCTGTGGAATTAACTTTTTCTCAATCTTAGAAACACCGCCCCTGTCTTGACAGATAGTGGCGGGGATGCGGCATCGACATGGGAAATCTTTTCGGGAAAAAGAAAGCAACTCGGGTGACCGAGCAGGACAGAGCTGTGCTGGTGTGTTAGAA